TTCTGCCTTAAATAACCAGAGGCGGTGCCTCATTTGTCTTGTCGAGCAGGAAAATAGCCTTACGGTGGGGGTTAATATTCTGTTAGAGAGGGCACTTCCTGTCCCCAAACCCAGTTTTAGGATTGGAACATACGGTAATCGGGTCCAGGATACGGGCCTCAGAGGCACATCTGCTGCCGGGCAGGACCTCGACGGCCTCTGTCTTCCGTCCCAGCCTGCTGGAGACATCTGGCACGCTGTAACGGACCTCAAGTTCTCCGGCTTGGAGACAGCTGGTCATTCTGCCATGTCTGGTCAGACCTTTCAGTCAGCCAGAGTAACAGGTGGCTTCTTTTGTCTCTTAACAACCCAACAGATCTTTAAGATAGAGCGCGAAGGAGAGAGCCAGCGCTACAAGCCGTTCAGGCAGCTGCACAACCGGAGGCTGCTGTGGCACGGGTCCAGGACCACCAACTTCGCTGGGATCCTATCCCAGGGTCTGCGGATAGCACCCCCTGAAGCGCCTGTGGTACGTGCCTGGCCTGGGGAAGTGTGACAGGTGCGGGGAGGGGTGGGAGGGTGATACCTGTCTGACTGCAGGTCTCTCCAGTAGGCTCTGTAGATGCTTGGGTGAGAGCGCACAGGCCCCTGGAATAAGGTGTTTGTTTTGTTTTGTTTTTTAAACAAGAGATTTTTGCTGTAGGACACATAGGCTCACAGAGAGACAGAAAGACGGAAAGTGAGAAATCATTCTCCAGGGTTGGCCATGCCACAATCCCTTCTCTTCTTGGGACCTTGGGCCGCACATACACGTGCCGGCATGAATCTTAACCCGCCAGGTCCAAGACTCAAACTGTGGTCTACTATGTGGGAGTCCAGCCACATAACCATTATACCATCTGCTGGTCCCTGGAATGAGGTTTTGAAAGATGCGGGTTGGGCTCAGCTGTGTCTGCTCAGGTGAATATTGCCAGATATTCTTTCCCCAAGCCCTTAGCATAGTCCCGGACAGTGCCTTCACCTTCATCGTCCTGACCCTCACTCTGTTGGTGGTACAGCTGCACGCGGATCATGTGTAGTTTTTAGAAGAAAAAGAGTGAAGCATCCAGGCCAGGGGCTGCTGTCAACATGCCAGATGGGTGGGTGTGTTGACGTGTAAAGAACAGACTTAGACCACAGGCCAGGCTGAGTGAAGACCCGCCGCTGTGACTTCCCACTTCTCCATGAGCTTCAGTCTCTTCAGTACACTGTGCTTAAGAGTAAAGCCTTCCCAGACAGGGACGGTCACGTCACCTGCTGGATTGTAGAAGCGACCAGCTACACAGGACATTAGCAGTGGCCCCAGAGCCTTCCGTTTTATGGTCCCAAGGAGTGCGAAGTGAAGATGTGTGATGACTCCCTGGTGCTCTGCCACGTAGTGCGTGACCGGAAGGGAGTAGAAATAGTGGTCTGCGTTTACTGGGTGTTCACATGTGCCAGGCACAAGTTTAATGTTTATTAACTCATTGTATCTTCCTGGCAGCCCCCGTGAGGGTGTCTGCCCTGGCGGAGAGAGGTTAAGTACCTTCTCGCAAGCCGTCAGTCCCTGCAGAGCTGGGATCTGGACAGCCTCGCCTCGGGAGTTCTCACCTCCGTGCCATCGGGATCTCTCGGGTGCTGTGACAAGGAAGTGACAAGTTGCAGCACTTAGCTGGGTGCCTGGCTCAGTAAAAAGCTGCTGCTCACTTCCCACGAGGAGGTTCTCAACTTGCCCTTTTCCAACCCTCCAGACAGGCTACATGTTTGGCAAAGGGATCTACTTCGCCGACATGGTCTCCAAGAGTGCCAACTACTGCCACACGTCCCAGGGAGACCCGATAGGATTAATCCTGTTGGGAGAGGTTGCCCTTGGAAATATGTGAGTAAATCTGGCTCAGAGGCCAGTGGCACTTGATCGGGACGGATGGAGTGGGCTGGAGGAAAGAGAGCTTCCCTTAGCCGAGAGGACCACAGTGATTCCCTGCCAGTTAAGACTTTTCACTTACAAGCAGCAGCCGCCAACCCAGTAAAGAGGAACAGGGAGCTGCAAGGTTGCCTCACAAAGTGCAAGGACAGGAGCACAGCCAGGCCTCAGGACTCGAGGCGGGTACTGGCAGGGCCTTCTTTCTGGAGTGGGAAGTGGAGAGGTTGAATTGCACAAAAGGTGGTCAGTCCCAGCTCCTTCCCCTATTGACCACCCAGGTCAGACTGGAATTTTAATCCCAGTTCCAAATGCTCCACAGAGAAAATCTGATTAGGCCAGCATGGTTCAGGTACCTGCTCTGATCCTACCAACTGTAGGCAAAAGAACAGGATCATGTAACACGCTAGGGGCCTGGGGATCGTGAACTGTGGACAGAGTGGCCAACCACAGCCCCAGATGTGACCTTCCTTGTAAGTGGTCCCGTGACAGTGAGTGTAGGACACAAACTACCTCCGAGAACTGTGCCTTCGGGTTCTGGAGCAGTTCCAGAGACTTGCGAGAGCTCCGTGAATTGCACTGGGCTCTGTGGGTATTGCCTCGTGTTTGGCCTTGTTCTGCTCATCACACTGTTGCACTGAGAGCCCAGGGTCTCGGAGGCTCTGCTGAGACTGTCCTCTCCTGAACAGGTATGAACTGAAGCACGCCTCGCATATCAGCAAGTTACCTAAGGGCAAGCACAGTGTCAAAGGTAACGTCTTTCCAGAGCTCCTGCTGTAGCCTGGGCGCCCTGGGCAGCCTGGGAGGGGGCCTTATTTTCTCCAAGGGCTACGGTTCTTGTGACTGGCTGTTAGGCAGCTGGACTTCATTTTTCAAAAAACGTTTCCCTCTGTGGCTGTAGCCAGTGTCACAGGTGCCATAGGAGAGTCTTGATGCAGGCACCAGGAACCAGGTCTTGGTTTTAACCTGTCTCCTAGCTGCCACAGTGAGGGGCCTCTCACTACTTAGCGCCTGGAGCATGTCTGTCCTCATAACGCATGTCCCTTGCACTTTCTGTTTTGCAGGTTTGGGCAAAACTACCCCTGACCCTTCAGCTAGTATTACTCTGGATGGTGTAGAGGTTCCTCTCGGGACGGGGATTTCATCTGGTGTTAATGACACCTGTCTACTGTATAATGAGTATCCTTTCATGAGCATGCTCTAAGCTCAAGGGAATGTTCTGGAACTGTAGAGTTGCTTATATGCTGTCCAATTACCTGAGGCAGACGGATGAGACCGCCCTACAGTGGCTCACAGTGACCGACCGTTTCCTCTGAGAGGTTTGTCCCTGTAGGGGATGCGCGGTCGTAGTCCCCTGCCTGTGTAAGCCTGGTTTACTGGGTGTAGGCCCTGCTCCAACTTCCAGAAGACTCTGCCTTCTCCTTTTTCTCCGGGGCACAACCCAACCCCACGAAGGCACCTCAGCACTCAGCATCCTGTCAGCACTGGGAGGCAGGGGTGGGGGCAGCAGTTGGACCTTCTGTTGTGAGAACGTTGGCCCCTTAACGTGCTTCCCTCCAGGTACATTGTCTACGATATCGCTCAGGTAAATCTCAAGTATCTACTGAAACTGAAATTCAACTTTAAGACCCCCCTGTGGTGAACTATGAGATGTGGCTGGGTCGCCCCCCTCCCCGGTGACTCTGGTGTGAATTCACTGACACGCGTGTGCGCCGGCTACCAGGCAGACACCTCGGCCAAGTCTTCCATGAGTATTAGCTGTCCTCAACCTCCGTAGGAAGGATTTTATATGAATACGTTAAAAGGTCACATCAAAATGGTTTTCCCATCTTTTCTCGTCTCCTGTTCCATATTTTGTGTTGGGGGGAGGGGTTGTTTTGCGTTTTGTTTTGTTCGTTTTTTTTTTCCCCTCTCTGCCAGGCACAGCCCTGGTAGATACAACTGACGATAGAGAGTAAGTCCAAGAGAGGTTTCATCCGTTTTATTTAGTTTGCATAGACCAGTCCTATGGTAAAAACGAAGTCATATTTGAACATCTGTGTTACTGGTTTATCCAGGGAAGGAAAAGCAGGCTTCTACCTAAGTGTTCATCTTTAGTTTTGATTTTGGAAAAATGTTCAGCATTTATTTTGAGGTAAAATAAAAACTAATTTCATACTACTTAGATTTTCTTTTTTATTTTGCACTCATTATTCCCTTTTGAACTTTTTAAAAATTCTTACTCTCTTTTTGGTGAGGGGTGTGGGGAAACCTAAAGGACGTTCATGATTTCTCATACTTAGGAAAGACAGTTTTTCTTTTCTGGAAATACTTGAACATGAAAGCTCTCAGAATATGTAGTCTAGGAAATTAAAACTTGCTAAATTTGAAAATCTTGATTTTCCTATGAGCACTTTTGTCTTCTACCCAAGGGCTAATAGTAATTCTCAATTAAAAAGCAGTTGGCTTCTGTATGCGGCCTTGTGTGTTTGGTCTCATTCTCTCTACCATGCGGTGACTCACGGTGCACGGTCCACAGAGACTGCAGGGGCATGTTTCTGCCCTTATCTACGGAACCCCAGAGTGTGCCAGACATAGGAAGGCGCTCTTGTTTTTCTTTAGCTTTTCAGATATTGCGATGAGAAAACTCATTCTGTGGAGGATTTCTGCTTTATTGCCTCATACGGGTGTCCTGTATTTGAGAGCAATACATAGATGTTTTCCTTTAGATTCTCTGGAAAGTCACCGTGTCTTCTCACTTCTGACCTTGTCTGACCTTGTACAGACAGAAGTGGGACGTATGGGCCAGAAGGTGGAGGCACAGGCAGGAGAAGGCGGCCTCAACAGCTCAGGCTGCAGAGACTCTCGCCCCATGAGGGCCTTATCGGCGGGGGGGGGGGGGGGGCCGGCAATTAAAAAGCAGTTGGCTTCTGTATGCGGCCTTGTGTGTTTGGTCTCATTCTCTCTACCATGCGGTGACTCACGGTGCACGGTCCACAGAGACTGCAGGGGCATGTTTCTGCCCTTATCTACGGAACCCCAGAGTGTGCCAGACATAGGAAGGCGCTCTTGTTTTTCTTTAGCTTTTCAGATATTGCGATGAGAAAACTCATTCTGTGGAGGATTTCTGCTTTATTGCCTCATACGGGTGTCCTGTATTTGAGAGCAATACATAGATGTTTTCCTTTAGATTCTCTGGAAAGTCACCGTGTCTTCTCACTTCTGACCTTGTCTGACCTTGTACAGACAGAAGTGGGACGTATGGGCCAGAAGGTGGAGGCACAGGCAGGAGAAGGCGGCCTCAACAGCTCAGGCTGCAGAGACTCTCGCCCCATGAGGGCCTTATCGGCGGGAGTGGGGTGATCCCAGTAACGCCCCTCAGCAGAATAGGGCAGGGGAAACCGGCAGAGACCTGCTGTCTCAAACCCAACTAGGGATAGGGAAACAGCAAAACTTCATTCAAAGACAGGGAAGAGGGAAAACATCTAAATGTCGAGCCGAGCTGCACTCAACAGGTGCAGTCTGTGGACCGTGGCTGTGTCCAGGGGCAGCCTTGTTTGTGACTTTATGCAGTTAACAGCCTTACAAACCAAACTTAAAGTAGTAGATTTCAGATACAGAAAGACAGGTAAGTCAGTTTGATGATGGTAAAGTAATTATCTTTTTCAGTGTCTGTAACTGGATAAAAATCCTGACCACTTTTGACCTGAGACCCTCTCTCCTGGTGAGCTCTTGCAGAAAGGCTCTTTTTTTTTGGAGAGGTTTTCACTATAGGGTGCGTGCGCTTGCCAGACAGACAGAGACATAGAGACATTCCATTCTCCTCCATTCCCCTCTCGGGATCCTGGGCATGCACACACACGTGCCCGGCGTGAGTTTTAACCCACCGGGTTTGGGACGCGAACCATGGTCGACTACATGGGAGTCCAGCGACATAGCCATTATGCTAACTGCTGGTTCCCTGGGAGAAAGGCTCTTTATCTCCTAGGATCCTGACTATTCTGTACTCTTCACCTTTTTATCAGCACAGAGAAAGGCAGTCACCCTCAAGGTACCCGATTAAACAGTATTTTTAGGTGGAGTGATTGCTTAATGGGTTCCCTGTAATCAAAACATTTCTTTTAAAGAGAGGCACATTTCTGAATCTGTATTTTTCTCCTAAAAGAGGGAACCTACCGTATTATGTTTCAATATTCACATTTTGCTTTTCTTTCTTTAAGAAATTCAAATACTGTTTGAGAGTAGTAGCTTAAATGCAAACAGATAATTCATTAAAAAAAAAAAAAAACCACTTTGCACAGAAATTCAGGGTGCACACGAGGGAAGAGGTTCTGCTCTTTGCCTCTCCTGGGGAGCTGCCATCCTCCTGCCTCTGTCTGGAAATGCCCTTGGACAGCAGCAGCTGCCCCGCCGCAGCACTTGGCTCGTGCTTGAGAGCACACTGCTCCACACGGTGCATGCATATGTTCTTAGAAGTTCGAAGAAGTACTATGCATTACTGTAGAGTGTATTGGCCAATGGATTCTGTTGCGTCGTTGGAAAAGTCATGACGTATGCTACGCTGGGTGTTGCCCTCTCAGGTGAACAGTTCCTTCAGTCTCGCAGAGCCCTGAAGCAAAGCTGCCGTAGACCGACTTGCCTGGAACTTTGCCTGGGGGCGAGCTTAGCCTACTGTGCTTGTAGGCATGAAGTCTGATGGTCGCTGGTGCATGTATAGTGTGCGCTCTGCGCTTACTACCTACACTAAAAGACGGAAGGAGTTACGTGGTCCTTTGACCTTCAGAAGTCTTCTACTGGAGCCAGCAGATGGCGTAGCGGTGACATCACTGGACTCCCACATGACCTACTCCAGTTCGAGTCGTGGACCCAGTGGCTTGAAACTCACACCAGACACGTGCACATGCATATGCATGCCCAAGATCCCGGGAGAATAATGGGGGAGAAGGGATTGCAGTGTGGCCATTCCTTCCCCTATCCGTCCATGGGAGATTTCTCACTTTCTGTCTCTCTTCGGTGAGTGCATGTGCCCCAAGGCAAGAAAACTTTAAAACCAAAAAAAAAAAGTTTTAGACCTTGTTACTGTTAAGCTCAGGAATGGTCTGCTCCTGACCTGTTGAGCTGGTTTTTTTATACTCTAAAGCACACCCAGGTGCTTTAAGACTTCACATTTCCAAGTGATGTCATGTCCTCTTCCTTAAACTCTGCATTTCTACTCCCAAAAGATTGGGACTTGCTCTTGTGATGTTTCCACCAGTTGTTTAGGCAGGCCTTTCAAGTTTAGTGTCCTTGGGGGCCCGTGGGGTTTGGTGAGGTCTGGGATAGTGATGAGCCGCATTGCCCCCCTCGCATTCAGTCTGCATGGGAGACAAGGCAGCAGCTTTTCTGGCACTTGTCAAACATGCCCACTTGTAGGCCTTAAGTGATGGGTGTTGGTTTCCTCATTGTTTATTTTCCCTAAATCTCTAGAATAATCTAGATTATCAAAGATTTTTTTAGACTTATTTTGAAATATAAAAAGTGATGAATTAGGGACCAGCAGATGGCATAATGATTATGTTGTTGGTCTCCCATGTAGTTGACCATGGTTCGAGTCTTGGGCCTGGCGGCTTGAAACACACTGGGCACATGTGCGTGTGTATCCTGAGAGGAAAATGGAGAAGGCATTGTGATGTGGCCATGCCCCTGCCCCAGGGGGGATGTGATCTCTCACTTTTTCTCTCTCTCTGTCTCTGGCAAGCACACCTACCCCACAGCAAAAATCTTTCAAAAAGGGGCCAGCAGGTAGTGTGGTGGTGAAGGGCGCTGGACTCCCACTTGGCCAACCATGGTTCAAGTCCCAGACCTGGTGGCTCGCTTTCTCACTTTACCCCTTTTTTCTCCCCCACTTGGTCCCTCTCTGGTCAAATTAAAATAAGTTAAATAAAATCTTCAAAAAAATTTTTTTGAAATCGCTCCAAAAAGAAAGTGATGAATTGGCCCTTACATGAGAAAAGGTTTCCCACTTCTGGAGTAGTGGACGGTGGCAAAAGAGATTCCTAGTGTTGTCACATGTGCCAGGTGGACTCAGACTGCTCACCTGCCACCGTGGCTTTCTCACAGGTTTGTTTCGGATCAGTTCATCTCCCAGCAAAGGAAGCACAGCAGCACACATGTGCTCATGAATTAGCTGGGTTTGCTACATACACCATCCCCTAGAGGTGGCCTAATTGAAAGGTGGATGGCTCATGTCGGAGCCAGTTGTGAGAACACCTGAAAGGATGGGGTTCAGTCTTACAGAATGGAGCAGCATACTTTAAATCGGAAACCAGAAAATACTGTCTCCCCCCCACCCACAGTGCATGGAGGTCTGGACCAAGGTTAGAGTGGAAGTAGCTCTTACTGTTACCACTCAGTTTTTATTTGGATGTCTTGGTCTCCAAGTGAGAAATGCTCCCCCTGAATTGGAAGCTGAGGCTGCCACCTGGTTGTTGTGGGTGCTTATACCTCTGAGAAGGGTTTCTCTGGCTGAGCTGAGGCTGCCACCTAGTTGTTGTGGGCGCTTATACCTCTGAGAAGGGTTTCTCTGGCTGGATGACTGATCTGATTACTCAGGGGAAACGGCTGCTACACAGTGGGGGCAGGACTGTCTGGAACCCAAGAGATTTTTAGGAGCACCTCTTAGTATTGCTGAGGTTTGTTTTGTTTTGCTATAGGGTTTGTGCACTTGCTGGAGAGAGGCAGAGAAAGAGAGGAAAAGTAAGAAATCACCTCTAGGGAGGATACCCACACTACTATCCCTTTCCCATTCTCCCCTCAGGATTTTGGGCATTGTATGTACACACGCCCAGCATGATTTTTTCAAGTTGCTGGGTCCAGGACTCAAATCCTGCAGTGGACCATGTGGGACCCAGCCTCCATAACCTCCGTGCCACCTGCTCACCAATATGGAGTCCAGTAGGAGAGGCTAGTGGAAGTACTTCAATCAGAAATATCACATCCTGCCTAAAATGACAGGACTGTAAGACTGACCCCTTGAGAATGAAGACTTGAGTTATTGGAACTGGCTAGCATTCCAACTGGGGGCAGAAGAGATGCCAAATGGGTAGTAGAAAAAGGAAGTCACACATGCCAACTAAAATGAGAACCAAAGCAACCAGTTAGGAAACAGCAGGCCAGGTTTAAGTCTAGAAGACGCCTGAGTC